ACCAGTGGGAGATCCTGAGCCCCAGTGTGGTGGAGCAGGCAAATGCCAACACCAGGGAAGCGCCCCCTCTCACCCAGCCCCAGCAGGTACACTCCAGCTCTGAGAACTGCCTGTGCTTCAGTATAGCAGGGAAACAGCAGAAACACCCCATTAGCCTCAGCACACCCCAGACACCAGCACTAGGACCCTGGCTCAGCACCAGTCCAGGTGTGAATTCAGCTCTGGGAAGGATTTCCAAAGCAGACCCCAGTTTCCCAAGGCAAGTTAGCACCTAGTAGGTGTGAATCCCAAAAGGTGTGAATCCAGAGGTCCTGAGGCCTTTTAAAAGGGACCAACCTGGGAAGTTCAGGATCAGAGACTGAATCTTGGAAGGTCAAATTTGGAGCTGCAGATCCTGAAGGAAAACTGCTAGAAAGATGGCAATGGCAGAATTTGCTGAAAACTTCAAGAAAGAGCTGCCCTGCCCTGTGTGTATGGACTACTTCAGCCACCCAGTGACCTTAGGCTGTGGCCACAGCTTTTGCTGCCATGTCTCTTCAGGAACTGGGGAGAAATTGACCGACCCTGCTCCTGTCCTCTGTGCAGAAGAACCTTCCAGATGAGAGACTTGGAGCCCGAGTCTCACCTGGGGAAGCTGGCCAGCATAGCCAAGAACATCAGACCCTAGTTATTGAGGGTGAGGAAGGAAAGTGTCACATGTGAGAGACATCAGGAGGAACAAAAGTTGTTCTGTGAGGAGGACCAAACCCTCCTCTGTGTATCTTGTTTCCAAACTCAGGAACACAGCAGGCATACAGTGTGCCCTACAGAAAAGGCTGCAAAGGATTCTAGGTACAAGCTCCAGAAAAATTTGGATCTTCTTCAGAAAGAAGTAGAGATAATTCAGACTGTTCTGGTTGAAGAGAGAGAGAAAATGGAGACTTGGAATGAACAGGCACATGCTTGGAGGGAAAGCATTAGAGTGCAATTTAAGTGATTATATGAATTCCTGAAGAAAGAGGAAAAGTGGCACCTTTATAGGTTTTGCAGAGAAGAAAGGGAGAACATGAAGAGACTATGAGAAAGTGAGGCCAGACTCTCTCAACACCTTCAGAGCTTAAGGGAAGTCATCACAGACCTTCGGCAAAATGGCCTGAAACCCGATCTCCAACTTCTTCAAGAGATAGGAGGTGCATTGAAAAGGAGTGAGTCCCTTCTGAGTCATCATCCAGAAGCTACCACTATTCGAGTGTCCATGTTTCAAATCACTGGAATATGGGAAATGATAAAATGCTTCAGAGTGAATGTGACACTGGATCCTGAAAGCGCTGCCTGTCCCAGTCTCATTGTGTCTGAAGATAGGAAGACTGTCACCCATGGAGGGTGCCAGCAGAATATACTAATTGCTCTCCACCAATTTGAAGACAGTATTATTTTAGGGGTTTGGGTTTTTATCTCTGGAATGTACTACTGGGAAGTAGATGTGGGAGACAGTAGGGAATGGTCAGTTGGTGTATGTAAGGCATCATTGAACAGGAATGCAAGTGTTCCATTCTCTCCTGGGGATGCATTTCTCCTTACGTATCTTCTGAAGAGAAATGCTTACTTTGTGATGGTCATACATTTGCACATAGAGCATCAATTAAATTCCCCTATCCAAAAGGTAGGGATTTTTCCAGACTATGATCAAGGGCATATTTCATTTTATGATGCCCTGAAGACTCGATTATTATTTCTTTTCCCTCTCTTCCACTTCTCCGAGCCCCTGAAACCTATGTTTTGTCCTTGTCCCCCCATGGTAGAGGAGAATGAGATTCCAATGACCATTAATCCATGAATATTCATTTCTGAAGAAGCTTCTGTCCTAGACCCTTTCTGAAGGACGTAGCTGCAAGTCTAATAGTGTCCAGACCAGCTCTGGATACTGCTCATGATGAATGTGACGTAAAAGCATTTTTAGTGGGTGATTGTGAAGAAGTCATAAGACATTTATTATTTTAACCCCAAACGCAGATGAGTCTTTTCATAAAGACTGCTATTCCACCAAATAAACACTCAGTGAGCCCTCAGTAGGTGGTGGTTGTTGTTGTTTTGTAAATAAATTTGGTGTCATTATGGATTCAAGTCTTGGGTCTGCTTCTTAGTAATGCCATTACTTTAATCAAAGCTCTTAACCTCTCTGAGACTAAGTCAAATTACACTATCTACTTCCTTTCCCAATTAAGTGTCTAATGTGTTCTATCATTGCTTTTATGTAAATATTAGAATAAATGGTTTGGTCACTATTTCTACAAAAATCTATTGGAGATTTTTAACAAAGATATATGTTCATAACTTTGTATTAAATTGATTTTTAAAATTAAAAAATGGAATCTATCTAGTTTAGTAAATCATGTTATTTCTATGAATAAAACTGTCATGCTAATTATTAAAGGATATGTAAATATTTGGAAGATGTTCAAATAATCCTTTGGGAGCTCATAAGGAATTTCCACTTAGTATCAATATATTCTCTATGCAATAAAAATAATAACATAATACAATCAATTTAATGTAAAGAAGACAAGGAATATTTTGGCTTATCAAAATCATGATGATATTAATGCCTACTTAGTACACGATTTCCTCAGTTTCCTCTGGAGATGATTGTGCCCATTATGTGTAAATGGTACATTTAAAAAATTCTATTGAAATATATTTAGATGTGCTAGAGTCAACTTAGTTGTAGAAAATGTCATCCTAACACTTTTCAAGTTTCTTTTGCCACCATTATTTTAAACCACAAATATTCTGAACCTTCAGCAGATCTGTGAGCTCACCAATGTGGCATATGACATTCAACAAGGCAGACTGCAACCCAGAAATGGCTGCCTATTTGAATGATTCTCATCCATGTCCTCCCATAAGATTGCCACAGGGAGCCCACCTACCATGCTAGGGATCTTCTTCACATTCTCCTAACATGGTAAGTCTAACTGTTATTTCTCACTTTTGTTCCATGATTGCCCCATATTTTTTTTTTTTGGTTACTTTTTGGGAATATTCCAAAACCTTAGAAAATTGAAGTTTGTATTTCTAAAGCTTTCATTCTTGTTTCAGAATCTTCCTTTTTTTTTTTTCTTTTTGGTGAGGGAATCGGGGTTAAGTGACTTGCCTAGGGTCACATAGCTACTAAGTGTCAAGTGTTTGAAGCCGGATTTGAATTCAGGTCCTCCTGATTTCAAGGTCAGAGCTTTATCCACTGTGCCCCTCTTCCTATTCTTTTTAAGACAAACTAATGAGAAACTACAAAGTGGCTTAATGTGTTAAGTATATTAAATTTATCTTTTATACTGCTGTCACATGGTAGCAAATATTCAATATATTTACATTATACAGAATTCTTGATGGAATATTTAAATCTTCATTTCTGTATAAGGTACAACCAACTAAGTATTACACAGAGGGTACTACTGACTCACTGTAGGATAGAGGAGGCACCTTTCACAGCTATGGACAGTAGAGGAATTCTTATACAAGGGATATAAGTGATTATACAAGATAAAATATACAATTCTAATTAGGTAAATTTTTGAAAAAAATGATTTTGCAGAAATTAGATCAATGCAGAAAGAATTAGAAGAGAAGCTGCCATGTAGGAACACATCTTTGCATCAAATATAAAAGACTATATAATCCAAGATTTTTAATGAATCAGATGCAAATAAATAAGACTAAGATGTGCTGCCCAATAGATAAATGATCAAAAGCTATAGTTTTTAAAAGAAGAAAAAAACCATGCAAAACAAATGTTCTAAATTACTACTAACAAGCAAAATACAAATTAATATAACTCAATTTTCATCAAATTGGAAAAGATGATAAAACAAAGAAATAGTAAATCTTGGAGGGGCTGAGAGAAGGTAGACATAATAATATACTGTTAGGAAAGATGTGCATTGGTCTAACCATTCTTGAAAATACTTTGGAATTGAATGTGAAAACTGATTATACCCTTTAACTCATTACTGGATGCACACATACCCCCCCCCCATTGTCATCAAAGACAGAGTGAAAAGTGCCAAGTATATGAAAATATTCATAGTTGCACCTCTCGCTGTAGTAACAAACTGGAAACAAAATAGGTGCCAATCAAATATTGTGCTATTTGAATGAAATATTGCACTGCAATTATTAGATTATAACAAAATAACAAATAAAAGGATTTCAGAGAAACAATGGAAAATATATGTATTGTTGGAGAAAGAAAATGCCAGCATCAGGAGATTATGAGGCAGTGTGTACTGTGTACTGTGGAAAGAACACTGGATTTGGAGTCAGGAGACTGGGACCCAAATCTTGGATCTACTACTTGACTGGATCTACTATAATATGGGACAAGTCACTTAATTTCTCTGGGTTTCAGTTTTCTCACCTATAAAATAAAGGGGTTGAGCTAACTGACCTCTCAGGGCATTTCTAACTCAAAATCTATGTTTTTATGATTCTAATATGACAGAAAATGATACCAAAAGACAGGCAAAATCAGATTCAGTGTAGCATCTGATTTTGGTTTCAGAGAAGAGATGAAGAAATACATTGCTCTCCTCTTGCTAGAGAAGTAGATGACTATGGTTATGGGAAAGACTTCATATATGTGGTCAGTTCATTTTCATTAGCTATTTTTCTTTGTTACAAAATGGTGGATTCAACATTGGGGAGGATGAATGAATGAAAAATAACCCAAAGGCAACAGTAAAATGAACTAAAAATATATATTTACATAAAATATTCAATATTTTATTTTTTTCATTATCAGATAAAAATTAGAGAAAGAAATTATAGGTAGTAAAAATGTCCTTTCTCTTACTAAAACGCTTTATCTTTCAATTGCTAAGCCAAAAAGCAATTGAATTCTCAAAGTGGGAAACACTAGATAAGGGAAAGACTAGGTGAATTGGAAAGGACTATGTCGGGGTTTCCATAAACCCATGGGGAAAAAAAGTGTTATAGATATGATGAACTAAAAACTCAGTACTTACCTGACATAAACCACTAATACACATGTCCAGTGATTCTGTGTAGCATCGTGTGCCATCTAAAACTTTAGGGGCTAATTCAACAACAAGGCTGGTCCCTTTGGCCTGGCACTTCAGAGAACATGGGTTGTCGGGGTCATTTGACACGGGCAGCCATTCGTAAAATTGGCCATGATACTTGACATCGTTGTGAGCCGAGCACTGCTGGGCCCGAAAATCTCCTGTTTCTGGAGGGCAGTCCTGGAGAGACAAGGAGAAGAGCAGAGGGTTAGGAGTACATTCCAAACTCGTAAATTTGGGGTCATCCCTGCTCTTACAAAAAATGTTGCAGCTGTTTGGCCTCTATAAAACACAAATAGAACAAAACAAGGTCACTGGTCAATGCAGATTGCACTTTCCCATTCTCATGAGGGAGATGATATGATTATTTGGTTCTTGGAAAGGACTAGTAGGGATTCTGGAAATTAACTTTTTCTATTATGTGTGTGTATGCATGTACAATGTAAGTTCTTGTAAGGAAAGAAATATGCTATTAAATATATATGTATATGTGTTTCTATATCTATATATATCTTTGTAGCTCCAGAGCATAACACATAGTAGGTATTTAATAAATGTTTGCTGAATGCAATTGGCCATTTGGTTTATCAACTCTGTAACAATTGTTTTATATATTTTTTTGTTGTTGTTCAGTTGTTTTTAGTCATGTTTGACTTTTCATGATCCCATTTGGAGTTTTCTTGACATAGATACTGGAGTGGTTTGCCATTTCCTTCTCCAGCTCATTTTATAATTGAGGAAACTGAGGCAAACAGGGTTAAGTGACTTGCCCAGAGTCACACAGTTAGTATCTGAGGTCAGATTTGAACTCAGGAAGATGAGTCTTCCTGACTCTAGGTCCTGCAATCTATCTATTGTACTACCTAGCTGCCCTAGCTAGTTTTACCTCAAAATACATACCCCCACACACTGGGATTAGAGGACTCCTCAGAATTAATTTAACTTCTAGTTAAATTAATAAATACAACAGAAATCCCCTTTACACATATCCTGGACAAGTGTCAGGCCATCATTAGCAAGGGGGCACAAGCTACTTCCCAAGGCAGCTCATAATAGTTGGGGACAGCTCTGTTGGTCTGGAATCTTGTCCTTACATCATGCTGAAATCTGTTTGCCCAGAGTCAAAACACTCAACTGCTGAACCCAATGGATTCAGGTCACCAACCAACCATTCAATGGACATTTGTGCTAGTGATAATAATTCCTACTCATGAGAATCTTATATTTTTTCTATACCATTTAGTTGGAGTTTTGAGCCATTGAGGAAATCTGGTTAGCTAGGTGATACAGTGTATAGAGCACTGGGCCTGGAGTCAGGAAGATCTGAGTTCAAATCTGGTCTCAGATGCTCACTAGCTGGTAAATCTTACCCAAGATATAGACCAAAGAAAACTCAATGCGTCCTTGAGATAGCAAGACGTTTTAGAACAAAACCAAAAAACTGGAAAAAAAAAGAATGTGGAAAACAGATAAAGGAGAATGTATGTATTTATTTAAGAATAATTCCTTGAAAACTATAATTAAAAAAGTTTAGGTATTATATTTAAGAAATAAATGAAAACTGGGCAGATCTATTAGAACTAGAAGGCAAAGTAAAAATAGAAAGTATGCACCAATCACTTCCTAAAAGGGACCATAAAAGAAAAATCCCAAGAAAGTCGAAATCAAAATCTGATGATTCTACATCAAAGAAAATATACTCAATATCCAGAAGCAGTTCAAGTACCAAGGAAGTACAATCAAGATTACACAAGGGTTTGAAGCTCCTACTATAAACAAGACAAGATCTAGGAACATATTTTTAACAAAAGGCTTAAAACCAAGAATAACACACTACAAATCAGAATATAATCCTAGAAGGTAGGGATTTGGAGAGGAATAAACTTTTAATGAACAAAGGACTTCTAAGTTTTCTTGATGAAGATCAGTGTTCAGCACAACTAGAATACAAGAATCCAGAAAAACCCAGAAAGATAAGTTTATTTGAGCAATTGGAAGAAGGATGATGATATAGGCTAATATTCTAATAGAGGGAGAAAAAAAAGTTTTTCTTTATAACCTTAATATCTTCAAAGGGTATTGAGGAAGTTAAATGAAAACAGAAAAATTTGTGGTGGGTTGATTCAATATGCCAATGTAGGAAAGAGTAAAAATGAAGTTATAATTTGTCATTTCTCATAATTGGGGTATGTATGAAGAGTATAAAAACATGGAGTAAGGGGTAAGGAAATAAAACACGGATGAACCTCACTCTTACCTGAAATGGGTAAAGGAAGGTTAAACACACACACACGGAGATAGTTGGTTGTAGAAGTAAATAAAACTCACTATGGAAATAAGTAGGGATAGGTTGAGGGAGGATAATACTGAATAAAGAATAGTTTACATGGAAAACAAAATTCCTGATGCTGAAGGAGAAAATCAGAGGAAGGAAAAAAAAAAGAAAAGTACTAGATCCTAAGTGGGTGCTTCAGATTGTCTCTTAGATAATTGAGGAGGGGCCTAATATGGTGGCATATGAAGGAAATTATTCTACCATAAGAAATGACAGAACATACTACTTCAGAGAATCCCAGATAGTGTGAATTTATAGAGGGAAGTATGCAGATCAGAAAAAAATTTACATAAGAACAGAAACATCACACAGAAAAATAACTTTGAAAGACTTAAGAACTCTGAACAATGAAATGACCAGGTATGCCTCCAAAGGATCTATGATAAAGCACATTACCAACCTCTTGACAGAGAAGTGATGGACCCAAGGGGCAGAGATATATATTTCTTGACATAGCCATGATATGGATTTGTTTTGACTATGCTTATTTGTTATAAGGCCTTCCTTTCTTCTTTCCTTCCCTTCTACTCATTTTCTCTCCTTCTCTTCCTTCCTCCCTCTTTTTCTTCCTCTTTTCCTTTCTTCCTCTTGGTTTTTAATTTGGTTAATTTTTAATTTGGTCCAGCTTAGCAACAGTGATTACACACCCCTCCCCTCCCCCCGTCCCGAGAAAAAGGGTTATTGTAATATTTCTAAAATGCACATTAGACAAGAGGGAAGGAAGGGAAGCACAGAGAAACAGGATAATTTTGAAAGTACCATGCAGAATTTATTATATATTTTTTAAAATGTAAGCAGTAAGAATTTAGGCTTATTTTTTTTCATTTAAAAATCTTTATTTTATTATTATTATTATTGTTATTTTTTACAAATAGAGAGATTTAAACAATTAGAGAAATATTAATTGCTTATGGGTAGGCCAAGCCAATATAATAAAAATGACATTGCTAGCTAAAATAATTTACTTATTTAGTGCCATACCAATCAAAATACCAAAGAATAACTCTACAGAGTTAGAAAAAATAATAACAAAATTCATCAGGAGGAACAAAAGATAAAAAATATCAAGGGAATCAATGAAAAAAAAGTAAAAGAAGGCAGTCTACCAGAGCCAGATCTCAAACTATACTACAAAGCAATAATCATCAAAACAATCTGGTTCTGGATAAAAAAATAGACTGGTTAGTCAATGGAATAGATTAGGTACATAATATATAGACATAAATAACCACAGCAACCTACTTCTTGATAAACCCAAAGATTCCAGCTGTTAGAGTAAGAATTCACTATTTGACAAAAACTGCTGGGAAAACTGGAAAATAGTTTAGCAACAAGTAGGCATAAATCAACATATTACACTGTATATAAAAATAAGCTCAAATGGGTACATAATTAGACATAAAGGGTGATATTATAAGCAAATTAAAACATGGGAAAAATACCTATCAAATCTATGGCTAAGGCAAGAGTTCATGATCAAAAAGAGAAAGAGAGGCTCATGGGAGGTAAAATGGATAATCTTGACTCCATTAAATTAAAAAAGTTTTGCACAAACAAAACCAATGTAGCCAAAATTAAAAGGAAAGAAAGAAAGTGGAGGGAAGGAAAATTACATCAAATTTCTCTTATAAAGGTCCCATTTTTCAAATATATAAAGACTTGAGCCAAAAATATAAAATAAGAGCTATTCCCCAATTGATATGTTGTCAATATGAACAGGTAGTTTTCAGAAGAAGAAATCTAAGCTAAAAGTAGTTCTTATAAAAATGCTTTAAGTTACTAATAATTAGATAAATGCAAATTAAAACAACTCTTATATACTGACCTTAAAACCACTATATTGGGTAAGGTGACAGAAAAGGAAAATGACAAATTCTGGAGGGGATATAGAAAAAAAATAGGGACACTAATGCATTGTTAGTGGAGCTATAAGCTGGTCCAACCATTCTGGAAAGCAGTTTGGAACTACGCCCAAAAGGCTAAAAAACTGCATATACCCTTTAACCAGCAATACTGCTATTAAGTCTATACCCTAAAGAGATAAAAGAAAAAGGATTCACAAATGCAAAAATATTTGTAGCAACTCTTTTTTGTGTGGCAAAGAATTGGAAACTGTGTGGATGCCTATCAATTGGGGAAATGGCTCAATGAATTGTGGTATATAATTGTAATGGAATACTATTGTGTTGTAAGAAATGACAGAAAAGATGGTTTCAGAAAAACTTTGGAAGATTTATATGAACTGATGCAGAGCAAATTGAGCAGAACCAGAAGATCATTGTACACAATAAGAGCAGTATTGTAAAGATAATCAATTGTGAAAGACTTAGCTACTCTAATTAATTCAATGATTCATGACAGCTCCAAAAGACTCAGGGTGATAAATGCTCTCCACCTCCAGAGGATCTGAGTGCAGAATGAACCATATTTTTATTTCTGTATTTTTCTTGCCTTTTTTTAAAAGCAACATGGCTAATATGGAAATGTTTTGCATGACTCCATATGTATAATGGGTATCATATTTCTTGCCTTCTCAATGGGTAAAGGAAGGGGTGGAGGGAGGAAAGAATTTGGAATTGAGAATAAAAAATTTTTGAAAATGGAATCCTATTTTTGTGTTCTACTTCATGTATGGAAATGTTCTTTTTTGGTGTTTTAGTTCAGAATAATTTTTTTTAAAGGTAGGTGACTAAAGGGGCATTAGAGGTCCTATATTTGGGCAATCAGAGAAGAAAAATTGGGAAAAGATATGCTGTCTTACTTTAGCCTTTCTTTGCAGCACTGATTAGAGCAGACAATGATGTGCCTGACACTTAGGTAACATTCAGGGAAATCTGAAATTTGC